CCTGTTCTCAGATCTCAAAAGAATGCTCGTTGGGAAAAAATTTTCGTCGAATGAAGAGGTGATCGCCGAAACTGAGGCCTATTTTGAAGCAAAGGACAAATCGTACTACAAAAATGGTATCGAAAAGTTGGAGGATCGCTATAATCAGTGTATCACCCTTGAAGGGAATTATGTTGAATAAAAAAAAACGAATTTTGCAAAAAAAATGTGTTTTACTATTTTAGGCCGGGGACTTTTCAATTGACCTGTTACTACTATTTTCCTACTATAAATCATTCCCTGTTTTCCTACCCCTACGGTTAGATTTTTTTTTCAAGTTTATATGGGACCAACTTCGGAGTATACCCTTTCCAATAAAAAAAAGAATTATCAAAATCGGACTATTCTGTAAAAAGTTATACGTGGCATATATAAAATAAATATACGGGTCGACTTGAGAACCTCCTTCTTTTTTTTCGCCGGTTAATAAATATAAAGTCTAAAAGATAAAATGCATTTCAAGTCATGTGAAAGTCATTAGGGAAATAGTCATCATATTACTATCGTCTGGGAATACGAGGATGGTGTTACTGAGTTTGGAAAAGCTACACATGATGTGAATCTAATGGATACGTTTCTGCCTTCGTAAAAGTATTGTATAAAATGACATCCGATATATTTTGCTAAGAAGCGAATGTGATAAACAAAATGTGAATAGTAGATAGGTAATCCGAAAAGCCTAATCGTAAAGGTGTTTACGTATGTTAAAATATTTCAAGAAACAAAAAAATACAACTAGAAAGTTTTGGAGGTTATTAACTGGATGTAATAAGGACAAAAAGAATTGTAGAATAAGTTAATTCGAAGCCGGTCCTGGGCGTACATTGGTAATGTACAGAGAAATTGCCATACAACTATGGCGCTACATCGATGGAAAATGTAAGGTAAATTTCCGAACCACCGTTGAGGTATTGCCAAAACGCATTAACTTTTTTTTTTATAGGCGGCTAGAACCCCGTATTAAAAGGCAGGCTTCGAAGCATCTACCCAAATTATCTCTTAGTTGCGCAAAACGTACGGCATTTAGTGTTTTTCATTTGCAGCGGTCATCAAACGGTTGTACAAATCATTGTTGGACGAAAATTTGCAATCAGACGATTTTTGTAGAGAATTTAAATTCCCTCAAAAACATGTTTATATTTTACAGATATATTGTTTAGAAGATTTGAGTGAAAGATGCGTTTTCATTTGCAGCGGTCATCTTACAGTTATAGAAATCATTGGCGGTTTATTAGAGGAAAATTGGCAATCAGACCATTTAAAAAACGTGTACTGTTTATATTTTTCAGATATATCATCTAGAAGATTTGAGTGAAAACCTAATTGTGTAGTGTTTACGTATGTTACTACAATAAGTATTTCAAGAAACAAAACCTAAAAGTTATAAATTCCCCTTGTTTTAGAGTGTAGCGTAGCATTGTGTCACTGTCTTGACATTGATTCTACTTTTCCTTTCATAATGAATCAAACCCCAGATACAAAAAGGGCCGTTAGCGACAAACGCCAACCAGATTCGTCACCACTATTGAGAATAAGAGTCTCTATAATGGCTCAATCAAATCGATGACCCCATCCGTTTCATAAATCAACTAATAGATGTCACGTAAAGCGCAAGAATTGTGCCAACAAACAAAAAACAAAAATCAATCGCCCACAGAGTTAATCTTGGGTAACTTTCTTTACGATAGGTTCATCGTCTTTTGTAATTGAATCTAGTGTTAATGTCAATCTTACATGCGGAACTGATATTAATCTTGATCAGTGCTTCTCCCTTCCACTTTTTATATGTTTTTTTTTGATACGCAATAAAATGGTTTATTTATATGTCCATCACCAAGTTATCGGCGAGAAAAGAGGTCGAAATTTTCACTTTCTGGTTAAGAATTGCAGAAAAAGAAAAAAGAAAAAATGTTTAAGGACTAAGGTTATGAAGTTTCATCCGATTTTATTAAAAAAAATACAAGAAACCTTGCCACCATTATCTGTAGAAATAAAATAGCCGATAGTAGAATGTTCTGGTGCTGATTGACGATTAAAACGTTTCAATAAAATATGGAAGGATTTCGTAAACCTACTTTCAGTAAGGTTAGGTATACCAATTTCTTGCTTTTTTTATCAGTTTTTAATGGTTTGTACCATGCACCAAAGCGTTAGTATCCTGGTGCGCATTTTTTGATAGCCAATACAACAAAAGTTAAAGGTCGAATGATTGAACGTGAACAGGCTTCTAAACATCTATCGAAGTCGCGCAAACGCGTACGGCAATTGGTGTTTTTCATTTGCAGCGGCCATCACATTGTTTTACAAATCATTGGCGGTTTGTCGGACGAAAATTTGCAATCACACCACTTTTGTAGAGAATTTATATTCTTTCAAAAACATGTATTGTTTATATTTCTTAGATTTGAGTGAAAGATGCGTTTGGATTAAAAAAACACAAATTCGCGATGATAGACCACTTAATATTAAAATTAAGGGCTGAAACTTGGATGTGGACTTTTTTTGTCATCCTAAATAATAGGAGGGATGTTTCCAAAGTTCTGGGAATTTAACTATAACTTTTATTATTTTATCAATTTTCATCAATATTACAATGTATATAATTTTTCAACATAATCTCCATTTAATGGAATACATTTATCCCAATTATAAACTATTTTTTTTAAGCGGTCCTCAAAAAACTTTTTCGGTGTTTCCTCAATCTACCTATTTATGGGATGTTTTACGTCAGTTTAACTTTGAAATCGAACACCTCGTAAGTTTTTCAAATCTGGGAATAGATGATATTCACTGGGTGCAAGATTCGGGGAATAACGTGGATGCAGAAGTAATTCCAATCGTAAATTGTACAAAACAACCTTCGTTTTTCTTGCGGTGGGTGATCCTGCATTATCCTGTCGCAATAACGGACGGTTATGCAACTCTCCAGGCCGTTTTTTGACAAGTGCCTGTCGCAGTGGTCCAAATATTAAATTGTAGAACATTTGCCAGATAATCCATTAAAATAATTCCTTCGCAATCCCAAAATACACTAAGCATTACCTTTCCAACAGACGGAACTGCACGCGCCTTCATTTGAGAACTTCTTCAGGTTAGGTTAGGTTAGGTTAGCGCCATTATTTGGATTTATTTTTGGTCTCATGATTGAAAAAAGGAATCCACGTTTCGTCAGTAATTATTAATCGTTGCCAACATTCAATAAAACTATATAACGAATAACAACAACAACAACAACAATTTATTTAACAACTTGTAGAATGAAAGAATTGCCACTTGAAGAGCGAGAAATTTGGAAAGAACTGTCTAAATCATTAATGAAGAAGTCTTATAAAATATGAAGGAGGAGCTAATATTTGGTGGATGAAATTAGGGTACTAATAGGGTATTAATATGATAGGAAAGTTCTGAAGATAAGAAATACTAAGAAATAGAATGTAGTCACAAATCATCGAAGAAAATCCATCTTAAAATTGTAATTAGGAAAAGATGCTAACTACGGACGGCAGGCGGTTAGTACGCGAAGCTGAAATGTTAATAAGTATTACTGGAAAGTACAAATAATAAAAGTAATAACTTTTCACTATCAATAGATAGCGATAGAATTGAATACAAAAGGATTTGAATAGAGTGTTCGAAATATTTAGACAGAGAATAATAAAAGGACAGATACAAATGAATTCGAGCAGATATATTTATCCGACTGGAAATTAGTTAGTGGATTGGATCCGATGCGGATCAGAATTGCGTGAAGATTGATCAGAAATAAACCAGGCTTTCTGATTCGGGTATAATGGAAAATCGTCACACCATATATGATCAACATAGGATCCGTTTGGTTGACGAACAATATTGCATACAGTATAAATCAGGTAAAAAATAAAGTTCTGTATTGATCCAATTTAGAACATCGGATACAATTTTGATTTAAAGATTGAACCGAAACCGTAATAGAATTTGTAGCATTAGATTGTGATAAGAAATTGGTCAGATGACTGGATCAAGGGATAGGATACTGTACTATGGTTAATTTCTGATCAGATGGTTGGATCAACAGATAGAGTACTATACACTGATCAATTTCTGATCGAATGACCAGATCAAGGAATGGAGTACTGTACTCTGATCAGAAACTGATCAAATGCCCGTATTACGGAAAATCTAATCCGCATCTGATCATAATCCGGGTTCTCTGAACTAATTTCCAGTTGGGTACAAAAGGGTGCAATATAATGTTTAGCCAAATATGTTTTTAAATTAAATATAGTAGTGATAAGAAATTGGTCAGATGACTGGATTAATGGATAGGATACTATACTATGATCAATTTCTGATCAGATGATTGGATTAAAAGATAGAGTACTGTGCGCTGATCAGTTTCTGATCGGATGACCAAATCTGATTAGTAATCCGTGTTCTCTGAACTAATTTCCAGTCGGGTACAAAAGGGTGCAATATAATGTTTAGCCAAATATGTTTTTAAATTAAATATAGTAGTGATAAGAAATTGGTCAGGTGACTGGATTAAGTGATAGGATACTCTACTGTCAATTTCTGATCGGATGACCAGATCAAGGAATGGAGTAGGTACTGTACTCTGATCAGATGGGTGGATCAACGGATAGAGTACTGTACTCTGATCAGAAACTGGTCAGATGCCCGTATTACGGAAAATCTAATCCACATGTGATCATAATCCAGGTTCTCTGAACTAATTTCCAGTCGGGTATGTCCATCTCTCATGATTTTATACCAAAGTAAAATGTACTTAGTACAGACGTGAAGCTTCACAAGAAAGACATTTCGTTAGACGATAACTTCATCAAATGGTATATATTCCGTCCTGTCCCATGGAAATTACCTGATATTTTCGATGGTTCATATGGAGCCCGGAATGGCGTTTGGTTCAACAAACGGACCATAAAACGTTACTGATTTATCATAATTTTTAGATTAACCAGGATAATATTTATTTGTTTCAGTTTGGTTCAAACTTGCGTGAAAGCATAGAAGCTTGGAACATGGGAACCAATAAATGGTTACGTATGGTGGTGTATGAGAGAGTACAAAATTACCCTATCGTTCTAACGTATGCCTTATCCGCCCTGTGGCACGGATTTTATCCAGGTTACTATTTAACTTTTGCAAACGGAGCCATTTTTACAATAGCTGCCAGAACGGTACGTAATCGTTAATAAAAATTTCTTCTATTTTCGTACTACATATTTTGATAGTTGGCATAAAATTATTTATTTTTTTGTTGGTTGTTGCAGATGAGGAGAACAGTAAGGGATTACTTTACGGGCAATGCAGAACTGAAGTTGATCTATGACATTGCCACATGCATTTTAACCCGTTTAGTTATGGCTTATATTACGTTTACTTTTGTACTACTTGATTTTTGGCCCAGTGTTCGGCTCTACCTGTAAGTACATCAACATTTTTTGAATCTTATAAAAATTGTCTATGGGCGCACTAAATGTATTAAAAATCAATAAGTGCCGTTTCACACGGAGCTGATGACGCGCGTTTAAACGCTTACATATAAACGCTCGTCGGTCAACAAGACGTGTTTTCACAACGGCGCGTTTGGTCGACCGAATAATGAACTATAGGGTTGTTCGCAAAGTCATTTCGTTTTTTTTTTTTNTGCTTATGTTTACTCCTGTTATCTTTCTATGCAGTATTCCTCCAACTAGCCCTTCATATCTCTGGAGGGGTTCTACGGTCCCATCTCTCCTTTTTCTTATTGAACTCGTGAATAGTAATCCAATTTAGGTCTTCCTCTGCCTCTGTTTACTCCTGTTTATGCTTCTAGGCAACATCCCTCCAACTAGCTCGTCCTATGTCAGAAGGTGTTCTACCGTCCTATTTCTCCTTTTCCTTATTGACTTCCATAGCGCCCTTTCTTCTTCTACTCATTTTAATACCTTTTCATTTCGAACCTTTTCTACCCACGGTATTCTTATCATCCACCTATAACACTACATCTCAAATCTATTAAGATTTTATTTTCAGCCACTCCCATCGTGCACGTTTCGCACCCGCACAAGGTCCTTCTCCAAACGTACACGTTTAATAAATAATTTCTTTCGGATTTCCAATTAAACCCTTCGCGAATACAGACATGATTTGTTAAATGGTATTGGATTTTTTGTTTTATGTCTCTACCATTTCTCTTTTCACGAGTTATTTGACTTTCTACGGATATCGAATATCGGGATGTTTTTTTTTCCGTCTTGAAGTTTGAAATAAAGTCATTATGTACCTGTACATATATCTTACGTCCATTGTAATTATCTATTGCGTGTACACCGTAAAATTTTGTGTAATTCATTTATATTTTTATACCACTCGGAAGTTTAAATTTTTGAGAAAATCGCGCATCCAAAATGTTGATATTATTGTCAGGGTTGTTAGTTTTGTATGAACAGAAGCTTATCGTAAACTTGGTAGGCTGGGCTAAATCATACTTGGGTACCTATACGTAGGCCTAAATAAATACAGGAATTTCACTTGTTTGTCCAAGACTATGGCTCTGGAACCGCTATACCCCGAATTGCGTCTAAGAAATAGAAAATAATTAACCTGCAGCCGTTAATCCTTTGTTTTCTGTTGCAACCAGATGTTTCGTATTTGATATTGAGACGACTACGTAGGTACCTAATTGATAAAAATAATATCACGTTCAAAATCATATTTTGCAATACGTAACCATATGAAGTCAATATGACAACAACAATAACATGGAGGCAGGGAGCATTAAAAAATTTAAAAATCAAGCAGGAACATATGAAAAAGTGGTTCAGGGAGTGGAGAAAGGCAAGAGAAATGGTTAGGAATAGATGCAAAGGAATACTAAAAGGAGAGGATTAAAGAAAAATTAGAGAGGTCTATTGCCCGGCGCCTCCACCATATATTGTAGTAATGAGAGGGTTGCTTGGCGTAGGAGAAGTTTGCTTTTAAAACGCCTGTTTTCCCTTTAACGCCTTGTATATTCAGTACTACACAAATATTTAGCACAATTATCGCTAATGTGATTTATGGTGAAAGACAACAAACGACTAACAATAAATACAAACAAATACCAAATTATTAGATAAGAGATAAAAGCCACTGAGAGAGATTAAGTGCAGTAGTCGTACTTTCATCTTTCCTTGAATTCCGGGAGGCAAATCCACTGAACGGGGATCCAGTGGTTCGTTCTCTGATATTTCAGTAGAGGGTTGCAATCTTCAGCTAGTCTATGATGCACTCGACGATACCCAAATCACACGAACCGACTTCTCGACCATTTCGCCTGCTTCATTTAATCTCCCCTTACTTTTATTCTTCCTTTTTGGTGTAAATTATTCTCAAGGAGGGAAAATCTTCAACAGGTACCACCTGAAGGGAGGTAGTAAACATGGAAGTGACTTCTTTTTATTGAAGGCGACTCGACCCTGCGCTATCCTCTGCTTTATATCCCTACTACTCCATCCGTCCTGTCTTATCTGACTTACCTAAAATCAGCCACTTCTTCTAATCTTTTCTCTCCTATCTTTATATTCCCTCTTTCCCTACTTTTTCTTCCTTTGCATACCAATACTTTTATTTTACTTTTAATTATTTTCATGCAATACTGTTTTGTCAACAATATACGAGGTGATCATTATAATTACTGATCCATTATAAAAATTATTTTACCGTTATTTAGAATGGTCCTCTACGGTGGAGATAGGCTGCATTATTATTTTTCAATGAAAATGAAAGGCTTTCTTATGAACGCTGTCTTAACAGTAGAGATATATGAATACAGGCAGAAAGAAAAAAGAAAAGAGAACAGGGCCTGAAAAGGCCTATAGAAAAAGTCCACGACGACATACAGGTGTCTCTATGTTAAAGTTAATTAACAAATTGGTAAAATATGACTCTTATAATCATATACTGAATTCCAAGCGAGCGAAGCCGCGGGCACATCTATTCCTTAATAATTGAGAATAAGAATGTGCTGTCTCTCGACGTACACCGCCTACCGCCACCGTATCCCATCATCCCCTTCGTCGACACCACTATTACTACACATTAAGCATTCAATAAAGCTCGGGGCGATGTTGGCTAAATCGTTTTCCAATTTATCACACAGCTGACGGAGTTATTGCATCTTCCCTAATAAAATATGAAGTGCAACGGGATGTGAACTGGAAATTTGGTAAAAATTTTTAACTGTGCTCAAATTCTAATAGAGTAACGCTCGATAATATGAAAAAAAACTAATATTATTGATTTTTTTATGTTAACATTTATAATTAACGAAAGAACTAAAAAAGTACGTTTATAATAATAATAGACACATCCAAAATTAGGGAGTCGTTATGATTGTCATATAAGCATGAGAGTACAAAACAGGGTAAAACTCTATTCGGTTTTCATCATCATCATAAGGTCGTCAGTTTTGGTTTTAACAAAAATAAATTCAAAATAAAGCTAATGGTTCAATATAGAATCTGGCTTCCTAATTTAAACCAGAGACCCTCTAAATTGGACCATTTCTATTGTTTAACCCTTAAGGTTGTAAATCAACCCAAAAGCCAACCAGGTCATCATCATAAGGTTGGATATGCATCTCATCTCCACTTTTTCCTGTCTTGAGTCAATCTTCGCATTTCTCGAAAAAGAGCAACATACATTTCTAACCATTTGCGAACACTAATCTAATCTTTGCCTCTATTTACTCCTGTTTATGCTTCTAATATGTCTCTAACTAGCCCTTTATGTCCAGTAAGGTGTCCTCAAAATTATGTTTATATAGTTGAGTCGATCAAAATTGGCATAGTGCGCAATAAATTGTCTNAGCATACATGCAACTAAAAAAGTACGTTTATAAAGTGAATAGACACATCCAAAATTAGGGAGTACAAAACAGGGTAAAACTCTATTTGGTTTTCATCATCATCATAAGGTCGTCAGTTTTGGTTTTAACAAAAATAAATTCAAAATAAAGCTAATGGTTCAATATAGAATCTGGCTTCCTAATTTAAACCAGAGACCCTCTAAATTGGACCATTTCTATTGTTTAACCCTTAAGGTTGTAAATCAACCCAGAAGCCAACCAGGTCATCATCATAAGGTTGGATATGCATCTCATCTCCACTTTTTCCTGTCTTGAGTCAATCTTCGCATTTCTCGAAAAAGAGCAACATACATTTCTAACCATTTGCGAACACTAATCTAATCTTTGCCTCTATTTACTCCTGTTTATGCTTCTAATATGTCTCTAACTAGCCCTTTATGTCCAGTAAGGTGTCCTCAAAATTATGTTTATATAGTTGAGTCGATCAAAATTGGCATAGTGCGCAATAAATTGTCTATGAGAATGGAGGTGTTTTTTTTTTTGTTTCTACTTGGCGCTGTAGTCATTTGGTGCGTTTTGAACATGCCCTTGTTAAGCTAGGAATTGATTTATAATGTTGTATCCCAGTAAGCGATGCTTAGGGATCTAGGCTTATCTACATACCACTTATTTAAACAACCGAATTTCCGAATATATTTTATTAACATTAACTTTTACACAAAAATATTATCTACTACTTAAATTAAACACTATACTAAAAATATGAATCAGAGAATAATGAATTAGAAATCTAAACGACTGGGATAGGATTCTTTACTGTTCTCTTTCAAAAACGCGCCACTTTGGTTTATATAGGGACGCTTGAAACTACGTCACAAGTACCGTTAGAGTACCTGCAAGGGTAGTTGTGTTACACGATTTCTCTTTTTTATTGCACCAAAAGCTAAAAGTTTGTACGTTCTTTCTTAGCCCTTGGGCGATGAGTCAAGTAAAAATACATACAAATAAGAATTCTACGAAATGAACTTATACTTAAATAAACTAAAACATTGGATTACAACATTCCTCCCCCCTGAAGAAGAGTGAAGCTTATACAAAAATCTTAAATCTATCACATAACTAAGCTGAACGAATACTAAATTGCTTTTTATTGTTGCTACGTTATAAACTACTGTTAAACAGAATTAATTCAATTTGTTTGTTTTACATTTAAGTATATGTCGATCGGCGACTTTTGATCGGAGCTAATATTTTATTTTTTGAATGTGAATGTTCGCTCGAACTACCTGGAACATTTTCTAAAGAGTGAAGTTCAAGACTTTCGTCGTGTTCTATATCTAAATGTGAACTTCGTCTTTCATTTTTCTGCACATTAAATATTTTTAAACAAAATCCTCCTAACTTGCTACAACTACATGTGTAAGGAGTAACTGAATATTTTTGATTTTTCTTACAACATTTACAGTATAAAAAGATAAGAAAAACTATTATTACAATTGCAAAGATTACATAAGAATAATTCACCAAAGTCCTGACATGAATATCTTGGGTTTCCTGAAGTTTTTCGTGAATATTGTTTAATTTAAAACTTGATAATTTTAATTCCTCTAGAGAAGATATAACAGATTTATAATCTTTTGACAAATGAGGCATAGTAATATTAACATGCTCGCTTTTGATCTCCTGTTCGCAGCATTCATCTAATATATCAATTGAAGGTATAAAATTAAGTTTTAAGGCAGTTTCACTGTCATATGAATGAAACGGTAT